GCTGCAGAGGAGAAAGCAGAAGCTATTTCATAGAACCACAGAATACGAGATTCGAAGGGACTTCAAGGATCATCTGGTCCAACCTTTCTTGGCAAAAGCATGGTCTAGACAAGATGGCCCAGCACCCTGTCTGGCTGAATCTTAAAAGTGCTCAATGTTGGGGAAGCCACCACTTCCTTGGGGAGATTATGCCAATGGCTGATTGTTCTCATTATGAAAAATTTTCCACTTGTGTCCAATTGGAATCTCCCCAGGATTAACTTGTATCCCTTAGCCCTTGTTTTCTCCATGTGACTTCTTGTAAAAAGGTAGTCTCCTTCTTCTTTGTAGCCACCCTTTAAATACTGGAACATTGTGATAAGGTCTCCCTTGAGCAGTCTTTTCTCAAGACTGAACAAACCAAATTCTCTCAGTCTTTCCTCATACGTCAGGCTTCTCAGTCCTTTGATCATCTTGGTGGCCCTTCTCTGGGCGCTTTCCAGCCTCTCCACATCTATTTTGTATAGCAGGGACCAAAACTGAACACAGTATTCCAGGTTTGGCCTGACAAGAGCTGAGTAGAGTGGGATAATGACTTCTTTATCTCTTCTGGTGATACCCTTGTAGATGCAACCCAGCATCCTATTGCCTTTTTTTGCTGCAGCAGCACACTCTTCACTCATATTGAGCTTGTTGTCCACCAGGACCCCCAGGTCCCTTTCCACATAGCTGCTCCCCAGCCATATGTATTCCAGCACTCCTGGATTATGTTTTCCCAGGTGTAAGACCGTGTATTCCAGCACTCCTGGATTGTGTTTTCCCAGGTGTAAGACCTTACACTTATCCTTGTTGAACTTCAAAATGTCCTTGTTAGCCCACTCTTCCAGCCTTCCTGCAGGGTGTCTCTCCCTTCTGCTTGCCCACGCAGTTTGTTATCTCTCAAACTTCATCAGGGCACGTTTGATCCCATCATCTAGATCACTTATGAAGATATTAAACAGCATTGGTCTCAATATTGATCCCTGGGGAACCCCACTTATGACAGGTTGCCAGTTTGAAGAGCCAGTGGCCTGTTTGCCAGTTCCTCACCCACTGCACAGCCTGCTTGTCCAGACTGTAACACTTCAGTTTCTCTAGGAGGAGGCTGTAGGGAACCATGTTGAAAGCCTTGAAGCAATCCAAGTAGACAATGCCCACTCCTTGCCCCACATCATCCAAGCAGATTACTGTGTCATAGAAGGCAATCAGGTTTCTCAGGCATGATTTGCCTTTGGTGAATCCATGCTGGCTTTTCCCAATCACGTGCTTCATCTGACTATTTGTTTGTTAGCAAGGTCTAATGGTAGCAGGGGATAGCAATGTGGCTGATCAGAAAGTAAAGTTGTTGAGCTTTTAATACTGCACGGTGCTTCATCTGACTATTTGTTAGCAAGGTCTAATGGTAGCAGGGGATAGCAATGTGGCTGATCAGAAAGTAAAGTTGTTGAGCTTTTAATACTGCACGAGAAATGACAAGTAAAGAAAAACCTTGGAAGGCAAGACAGGCAGATGACATGGGATGAAATAGCGGAGGAGACTAAAAGACAGGCAGAAGAAGGTGGTGTAATGAGAATATCAAGTGGTTTAATGGTGGCAACGAGGAAGGTAACACTGCAGATGCTGAGACCAGAAAGAAATCTGATGCAGTAACGAAGGGCTGAGATGACCAATGCAAGGAACAAGAATTTTAGCTTGCACCTGTGTTGGAAATTATGACTTTGTACCCACCTCATGGCTGTAAAGTGTGCTATTCTGTAGGACACCCCTGTCAGTCTCTTCTTCAGTAGCCCCCAGTCTAGCTAATATATTGTCTCCCTCCTCAACTTGCACTCGTTTTCGTATAACACCATTTCGGCCCTTGCAGCTGCAAGTGAGATGATGTCAGACCCTGGCTCTTGGTGGGAAAATGATCCAGATCAATAGTTCTTCTAGCCCTTGGCTGTCTGCAGCCTGCTGGAGATTCCTAATCCACTAATGATTTTCCACTTCATGGAGCAGACAGGCCTGCCTGCAGAGACTCCAGTATCTGGGATCTCCCTCCCTCCTGTCCATCTGTAGTGAGTTGTGCAAGAACAAGGATGCTGCAGATTTGGGTGAGCAAGGGTCTTGCTTCTAAAGGCACAATTCAGCCTGTTAGAACAGGACACTCAGAATTGTATCCGGCAAAGCTTGTTTTTCCTGTTCATTTCTTATTCTGGCTGTTCCTGGGGGTTTTTTACACGTCATCACCTCCTCACCTTCTATGTACTCATGTACATATCAGTATGTATGTATTTGTAGTTGTCTTTTTGAAGGGATTAACAAGACTTAAGTGTAGAATGTGGCTCAGCCACTGAGAATGTTATCTGTTTCCAGAGATTTTTCACTACCTTCCACTGGGCTACCCTACTGGTACCTTTTTTTACTTCTGGCTTCAAATGTATCAGGAACACACATAAGTATTGTTATAATTTCATTCTTTTAATCTGGAAAGTCCCACTTATCATTAGGTAGGGTGCAGAAGATCACCCCGTGTTTTCAGCTGTGACCAAGATCTATCTTTGCAAAAAATGAGCTTGAGACACACCTTTGTAAGTTTATCACCAGGAGACCGTAAATCCTTATCAACCTACTTAGTTTACTTCGAGCAAATAACGTGCCAGCGTAACTGATATTAATGTGTTTCTGAACTACATGGCTGTGTGTATATATATGTACAAATCCATATAGTTCAGAAGTGTGTATATATACACACACACGTGCGAGTGTGTGTACATGTATTTCTGTACATGAGTAATAGCTGCCATCCATGAAGACATAACATTATTCAACATTTCCAGTTATAGGACTTCTAATTGTTTATAAAAGTATCAAAATAGTGGTTTTTTTAGACTGGTTTTTTTTTTTTAATGCTTCTTTAAAAACTGCAGATTTTTCAGTTGCAATGGTTCAGTAGTTCCAGGAGAAGCGTTAGGGAATGCTCTGTTATGAATCATTGTTTTAGCAGTTCAAGGACAGAACAATGACCCAGCGATGACCTGTTAAAGGCAACGCAGTCTATTTCTTCAGTGCCTGTGTTAGGAACAAACCTGCATGGCAGGAGGGAGAACTTCAATCTGAGTGTGATGTGCTAGATCATGTACTCACATGACTTTATCATTAAAACATCTTTGCACTGTCTAAATATTTCTTAATTGAAAGAATATTGCTGATCCTATATCAGACCTTGCTCTGGTCAGGAGAAAAGGAACTCATTCCAAACCCCAAATTGGTGGTTGGCTAAGTGTGTGTGGTTGTGGTGTGGCTGCATATGGTACAAACAGTGAGAATCAAGACCGCTAACAGACACATGGGATGGTTGTATAAGGTCTGGTGTTACAAAATGGAAAGCAAGTATGAGACAAAGGAACCAAAGGAAAGCAATTTAACAGGAAAAAGTCTGATAACTCAGGCATATGACATTTTTGTGAGACCCCTGGGGAAGTACAATCTCATCATTGAAACAGAGACCTCTACTGGGTCAAATGATCTAGCCTGACATACAGGAGATGTGCATGTAGGTTGCCAGCCACTCCTCCATACTCAGTATAGCATATAGAAAAGGGGGATGTTGAAAGTAAGTACAAGCAGAAAATTGTCATAAATTTCTTGAAGGAAACAGAAGGGTGGAAAGACCATTTTATGGGCAGCAAACTTAGGAACAAAGACATGAACAATGTGATACAACTTTTTTTGGGTTTGTTATGAGAATTTAATCAATGTTTCTCAGTTTATGAGGGCTTCAGGGCTTTTCCCCTTCTTGCATCCACATGAGATAATTTGCATTGCTTTTGCTAATAATCTGTTACCCATTTGCTACCACTCCTGGATTGAGCAGTTGCTCTGGTTACTCTCTCATAGAAACTTCGCATTACATTATAGAAAATGGATCTCACCAAACAGAACAGACTTCCTATTTTTGTTTGGGTTTGGTTGATTAAGGTAATATCATGGATGTAGTGGATTTGAAATTGTATAAAGCATTTGACTTGATACTGCAGCATGTTTTGGCTAAGAAGCTAGAAAGCTATCAAACCAGCTCAACACACATTGAAGGAATTAAACACTAGTTAAATGACAGGCCTCAAAAAATTTCATCACTTGATACAAATGCTTCTGAAAGCGTTCTGCAAGAAAGGATTCTACAAAGATCATTCTGGTTTACTGTTTAGTAATGTCCAAGAAAGAGACGTAAAATGATTTCTGATGAAATCTGTAGAATCCAGTATGATATGCAAAGCTGAAAATATTAAGCCATAGGTATGTATGGTTAATCTATAGTGATGTGATCTGAAGAACAAGCAAAAACCGACAGCATGGTGTAAGACTTTTATCTAGAAGATTTTATACTTCATTAAAAGTAAAAAGACCCAAACAAAAAGCCTACAAAACCCCACAATTACGTGTAAAAAGAACAAAGCAGATTAATGCCCTGTATTTAGTTTTTAGTATTTTCTCCTCCCTTTGGGGATATGTTAGTTCCAAAGAGACGTTTAGATCTCTGACTCCTTGCTGTGTCACTTTTCACTAGAAGACATTTCTGCCTTTTTTTGAGTCCTATGCCACTGTCTTTCCACCTTGCCTGTGGGAGCCCATTTCTGCTTCCCTTTGGCTACAGCTATTCATTATGGAGTTGTTGTGTTAATAAACTTGCCACACCTTGACTGAGGAATGCCTTGTAGTTACCCAGTCACATTAAATCACACTTAAGTCAAGGTAGGATGAGGTAAAATGCAAATAGAAGTATTAATTCATTACTTCTAAAATAGACAACACAGCTACAAATATCTTGAACAGACATAAGTGAAGAAATAGAAGAACAAGTTTGATCTACTGACACTGAATGTAATACAAAGATGTTTTTTTTGTTTTGGATTTTTGTCTCCCTTTTTCATTTTTCAGGTGACTTGTGTCCCTCTTCTGAAAAAATGTCTCTCAGAATTTTCTTTCCTCCTATTCTTCAGGTTGCTCTTAGGTGATTTTCATCATTGGAGACTGTGCAGTACATGGAACTCCATATTGCGGTGTCTCATCAGAAAACATCTTCAGAAGGCAGCTTTGGACTTCACCTTCAGGTAGCTTCTCTGAATTGTCATGTTGGCCTCATTTGCTGATGGATGGTTTTAGCTATTACAGCCAGTCTGCACTTTGAAATTTTCCAAGGGGTCCAGACATGTCATTGTGTGTAAAAGTACTGCATTTTTTTGAATTAGTATTGTAGCAGTTTAATATAAATGTTATGTATAATTGTTGTATATTATGTATAAATATGTATAACTATTATACTTTATACATATAAATATATGTATAAAAATGATGTATAATTATGTAGAAATGTTAAATATAAAACAGTTAATGTATGTGACTGCAGATTTGTTCATAATGATGGTTACAAGTCAGAGATAGTGAACAGTCATCCCTCTCCATTTCTCAGGTCATGCCTACCCTAAGAGAGATTTAATAATTAGTAATGCTGTTAACTGTATGAGTTTGAAGATAAAGATGGTAAAGATGTGAGATATAATAATGACCTGCCAGCCTTGAAAGGAAGAAGGCTTGTGTGCAAGTACATTTTCAGCAATTTAACTAGTGCTGCCTCTACTGCTGCCTCAGAAAACATAGGAAACCAGTTTCCTTTATGGCCGCTGGGGTTTAGGTATATTCACACTGGGAGGGGAGAGGGGGCACGAGAAATGACTTCCAGAGTGGTCCTGATGTATCTTCATAAAAAACAAAACAAAACAAAAAGTTGAGGTTAGATCCTAAAAAAATCCAGGCAGTGATTTTTTTTTTTTATTGCCAGTAAGTTCAGGGTATATCAAAAGAAGTGTGGCTGCATCAAAAGCAGCATGGGCAGCAGGTTGAGGGAGGTGCTCCTACCCCTCTACTCTACTCTGGTGAGACTCCACCTGGAGTACTGCATCCAGCTTTGGGGCCCTCAGCACAGGAAGGACATGGACCTGTTGGAACAGGTCTGGCAAAGGGCCACAAAGGTGATCTGAGGCTGGAGCACCTCTCCTGCGAAGACAGGCTGAGAGACTTGGGGTTGTTCAGCCTGGAGAAGAGAAGGCTCCAGAGAGACCTTCCAGTTCCAATACCTGTAGCCAGGGGGGCTACAGGAGAGATGGAGAGGGACTCTTTATCAGGGAGTGTAGCAACAGGATGAGGGGGAATGGTTTTAAACTGAAAGAGGGGAGATGTAGATTAGGTATTAGGAAGAAATTCTTTCCTGTGAGGGTGGTGAGACACTGGAACCAGGTTGCCCAGAGAAGCTGTGGCAGCCCCATCCCTGGAGGGGTTCAAGGCCAGGCTGGATGAGGCTTTAAGCAACCTGGTCTGGTGGGAGGTGTCCCTGCCCAGGGCAGTGGGGTTGGAACTAGATGATCTTTAAAGTCCATTCCAACTCTAACCATTCTATGATTCTGTGAAAAATCAAAAGTGGAAAAGGAAGACAGTGTTGCTTAACTTTTTTGATGGTGCAGACTTTATGGGACAGAAATAGAATGTTATGTTTGCCAGGAGTTGTGGTTTTGAACTTAATTTTGCTACTTCAAATAAGAAGTAATGAAAAGCACACTGATGAAGAGCTTTCTAATGGGGGTAACACAGTAGGATTGCACAGAGGACATAGAGAGTTCTCTCTCCAGGAACCGCAAGGGGACAGAATGAGTGAGCGCAGGAGAGGAAATGCTTTGAGTGTTGGACTGCATTGGCCTTCTCTCCTTTTGTCTGTGAAAATGGAACATCTTCTTTTCTGTTGTTTCCTCTGTTGCTTTTATCTGTTTTCTGCCACAGTGAACCCTTTTGCAGCTCACGGTGCAGCAGCAATGGCAGCAAACACGTACACACTGCAGTCTCTTTGGGAAACAGAGAATGGGAGAATTAATCTATCGTTAGTAGTTAGGATTCTCTGCCAGAATATGGAAGAGTTTCTTCTGCAGCAAATATTAATTTATTTGTAAAAAGTGGACAGCTTCAGGGCAAGAGATGGGAAGAATCTCATTCTGAATGCATCATAGGCTTGCAGGTAGACCTGTTGCAGGTTATGGAAAACTTTGTACTCCCAAACAGCAAGAAGTAAGGTTATTTAAATAAAAATACATCTTGGTAATCCTAAATGAGTCTATTGTTACAGAATATGAAGGGATAGATAAGTTTGCTCTGCAGGAATACCAGCTTTAAATGAGAGAGGAGGAGTATTTGCTCATATGCAGTTCATTGTTCTGAGAAAGGGGGAGAATTTGTAATGCTTTGAAATGGTCATATTATTTGTCTGGTCTATTTGTCTGGTTTAACAGCATGATTGTGGTGACTCTTTTTCATAGGAGAATTTTTAGTTATTAAGTAAAGTCTCTTTTTATAGGGCTTGAAAGTTCTTTCTGTTATTGTAAATTCTGTAAGAGAATACCATGTAATCTTCCTTATATCAGTCATACAAAATCTAACCTGTATTATCTTTCTTTTTTGACAGAAAGGCAGATTTCTACTTTAGAGATCACTTCATCCTGCTTCCTGTGAAAATAATATGAATCAGAAAGCGTTACTTTTCCTTCTCCCAAATTTTTTTTTTGGGATATTTCTTTTGGGGTTTTTCTATAGGAAACAAAAGAGCCTAGCAGGTGAGTAAACAATTTACTGACAGACTGACTTAATGCTATCTAGAACCAGGGAAAGCTTTCCCAAATGTATTGGAAAGTAACTATGGAGTCTAAGGATAAACAATACTATGAAAATATCCAAGGCCCTGTGGCTGTGATATCTATCTTAGCAGCCTATGAGAGGAAGAGCACTACAAAAAACAGTTGACATGTCCATAATTTTTAGAGTAATATTGCTAACATGTTGAAAGTTTTCATTTTAATACACTTTTCACTAAGTAGGATAGTTTGTTGTGTGTTTGCCATAGTGGAGTCCAGTGCCAGTAAAGAAAAAATTGATTTTAACATCTTCATTAGTTTTTGTATGCAGTACTATGCATGAGTACTATGATTGTAACAAAGAAAGACTTATATAAGGTTCACACTAGTGGTTTAAATTTCTTCAATAACCTCGGTTACAGGTGATTTTCCTGTTTGCAGTGAAGATTGGGGGGCAATTCAAAACGATCGCAAAACCACACTGGCTTCTCTCTGCCTGAAGAACAACCTTCTTAAAGTAAGAAACCAATTGGATTCTCATGTTGCAAGCCAGCTCTTTGTGGAGCACAATCATAATTTTATCTACTGTGAGGTACCCAAGGTAGGCTGCTCCAACTGGAAGAGAACTATTTTTCTTCTCCAAGCAAACACGCATGCAGAAGCTTCTGAAATTGAGCATGACTTCATCCACCAAACTTCAGCGATCAGAAGGCTGGCGTCTTACCCTCCTGCCAAACAACAGGATTTTCTGAAAAATTACACCAAAGTGATGTTCACTAGACATCCCTTTGAACGACTGGTTTCAGCTTACAGAGACAAACTTCTGCACTCTGAGCCATACTACAGTGACACTGTTGCTAATCAGATTAGGGCAATGTTCAGGAAAAACAAAAACTCTTCTGGAAAAGTGAGTTTCCAGGAGTTTGTCAACTTCGTTTTAGCAAAACCACCAGATAGTCTTGACATTCACTGGAAACCAATGTATCTGCTCTGTGATCCTTGCAACATTCACTATGATGTTCTGGGTAAGTATGAAACTCTTGGGTTAGATTCTGAGCATGTTCTGAAGGTCATTGGAGCACCAGAGAACCTGCACTACCCCAGCTTGAAGAGGTATGGCTCAGAGAAACGAACTAATGGTTATATCACCTTGGAGTATCTCAGACAATTGAACTCAGAACAAATTGAGAAGATAAATAAATTGTATCACATGGATTTTGTCTTGTTCAACTATACTATGAAATATGAGGAGTATTTTTCCCTGAATGACTAACATAGGTAAAACAAAGAACAGTTTCTTCTGTACAAAATGAGCTGAACTTGTCCTCACAGGTGCTTGGTAGGTGGGTTGGTGACTGCTCCTGAGATTTTACTGGTGTTTGGAGACATGCTTTATCATCCTAAGCATTCTTATAACAAATCCCTGCCAGATCTGTTGTTGTGTACAGTTTTTTATCTATATGAAGTTATTTTCTTCATGTTGATCATTAATGATATATGTTTGTTTCATGAAGACTGTTCATAAATAATAGATTTTGGTCTGTTGGTAAAGGATAGGGGAAGGATGAAGAGTCTTGTTTTTCACAGTGAATATTTTAAAACACCATTTTAAAATGTAAATTATTTTATTCTTTTATTAGGAAAAGACATACGAAGCAATAAATCATCTGCTTTAGAGTCAAACCACTCCTAGTCTGCAAGGGCCTCGGTCATGAATCCTGTAGGAAAGGAACAAATAACTTGAGATGCTTGAAGCTGCATTACACAGAAATTAATGCCTGATTATATTCCCCTCTGGCAGTGCTCTCACCACAGCCCACCAGCCTTGTCCCTCAAGCAGTATAGTTGGCAGCAATCCAGCCAGGATTTCCCTTATATCCTTCAAAATCTTCTGATGAGCAGGTCCAGTATTCATGGTGACTTTGCGAACTCTTTTCACCACCTTTGTGAGTATTACGGTCTGATTTAAAAATGGAGGTCTGAAAAATGTATCTTTTTTTTAGAGAGATAGTTAGAGGTACAATGGTACAATTGGGGTGGTGCAGGACCTAAAATCTCAGTGGAAAGGTGACCCTTATCACTGAGTCAACTGACTGGCCAGTCATCACAGCAGGAACAATGTTTGGGCTTTCTCCATTTGTGCCTGCCTGGAGCCTATGAGCCCTTAGGACATTCTTGAGTATGGTACTTGGGACTTGGGTGGAGGCAGGTAATTTCAGGTAATAGATGTGTCCTACATGTTGCTTTCTCAATTCACAGGAGATTGAATGCAAATAAATTGTAGGAAGCTGGAAATTACTCCCATCAAATTTAAGGCTATGTAGAGGGATCTCTCTCTCTGTCTTTCCTGAATGAGAGCTATTTCCAGGTACGTGCTTCCCCTACATTCTTAGCCAGATCATGCAGAGGAAAAGGGGAATAAGATTTGCTTTATAACTTGCTTCTACGTGATAGATCCCACCAGATCTATAAGCTTCAGCAAAGATACTTTAATTTTCTTGCACCATTAGGCATCCTAGGAAAACTGAAGAAATGCTGCTGACAGAGTTTGATAGGTGTCTTTGCTATCAGCACTCTAGTCTTAACACTCCCTTTCAGTTTCTTGCTGTTAGATATGAGTGGCTTTCTATTCTAATTTCCTCTTTCACACAAGATCACGTATTCTTCCTACAGTGGTGACAGGAAACGGGTGGCTTATTCGTTCATCACAAGCACTAGTCAGTAACAGAAGATTGTCTATCTATTGATGCAGAAAAGTATCTGTAACTATTCACGATGGACTCTCAGATTTGACATTTGCCTGTAGGAAATTGTAAGTAGCACATTGCGCGGAACCACTGGGTGCTGTAATGCTTCTTAGCTGGTGTGGGTCTCAACCAAAAAACTGCAGAGGGCATGTGTGTGCATATGTGACATGTAACAACAGTTTAGGAAGCAGTGTCACCCAGGAATGGTGTAAGTTGTGCATTACCAATGCTAACAAAATGAGAATAACGGGTTGATGTCTGATGGAAAACAGAAAAACCAGACATTACCTTATAAAGGGTCTTGCAACATTCCCCTGCAGGCATCTTCTAATGTTCAACCCAGTTTACTGCATTTCCATTTCTATGAGCTTGAGAATACTCCCTAACACTCGCCCACACCCAGGAGTTGCTGTGCAGTGTTGCAGGAGTGTGCATGAGTTCTGCAATGGGTTTCAGAGTTAATGAAAATGATGGTGACTCACTGTTATGTTGTAAAAAGCTTTCACAGCTAGCAGAGGTGGGCATGGAAGTTTGGGCTAAGCTCAAAGTTGAGTCTTGCAAGATCTTTAGTACTTGTATTGAGTTGGCTGTATTTTTTAGCAATAACTGTCAGGCAGCAATGCTTGTGGAAAACTCTGGTCTATGATCCTTCCTATTGTGTGAGCGACTGCCCATTGCCTGGTACAGTTGGGACTGTGCCACCTTGTTTATTCCTCAGGTGAATCCCAAGGCTGATTACACTGGATGCCATTGGAAGTTCACCAATGAAAGGGCTTACTGTTATTTCATTCTTGATATTGTAATATAATAATAGTTGATGAAGGCTCTAGGCTTTGTCCCAGTCAGCCCACAAGAACTGCAAGACACCTGTAGACTTTATGATGAAAATGATGACTATCTCTTCATGGCCTGGGAGGGAGATTTCTTGTTCTGTCTTCCCTACAAGCATAGTGTCCTGAGAAAAGACTCTAAGCTAAGCCAGCCTCCCTCCTGTCTTTGCCTAGAGAAGAACCCCTCAGTAGAGCTTCTTTCCTTTGAGTGCTAACTCTGGGTGATGTTTTCCTGGGAGGAAAGTGGGTGCTTGCTGTTTGGAGTAGGGGTGGAGGCAGTGGAGGCTCAAGCCCTGAGGTGGATTAAAATTACTCTCATAATCTTCTGATTTATTGTTATATGCCTGTGATTTGACTATTGCTATGTTGCATTTCTAATTACTGTAATAAACTGTAATGAGTTAACACACTAATCTATTTGTTCATCCTTCTCAACAACATCCGTTTAAAAAAAAAAACAAAACTCGGAGCTGTTCCATCAAATCATAACATAGGCCACAAGCTCTTTGGCTCTGCTTTGGTACATTAATATAAAGCTGTCTCACAGGACTTTTAAAGAATTGACAGAATTAGCAAACAGTAATGAGTGCTCCAGGGTGGAGAAAAGATGGAGCTAAGTAGGGAAAGGAAGAGAAACAAAAAATCTTGCAAAGTCAAGCTTGCACCTTTCCTACAAGTCTATCTATCAGCAGTGAGGAAATAAGGGAGAATTTGCCCATTCTCGTGGATGTTCACACACAGGTCCTTACAGGATGAGTACCCACAAACCTGACATCATACCTTCTTCCTGAGGTATGACAGATCAGATAGTTGATCATTCTATGTCAGCAACGGAGACCGCGTCACCAGCTGTTCCTTGAAGCAGATGTATTCTCCACTTAAAAGTGATGTTTCTGCCCGTAAGCACTCCTAATTTTTCATACAGTTTTGAATGTGAGTCTTAGCAGGTAAACCACAATTAGCGGTTTCTCCTTCAGAGAACTTCCCAAAGCAGGACAGCTGTGAACAGAATAAAATGTGTCTGCAGAAGAACAGTGTGAGCAATGAAACTTTGAGTGTTTGTTGTTACATGGAGGCGTTCTCTGACCAAGAGTAAGAAGAGGAAATGCCACCTGTGCAAGTTACTGCACATCGACCAAACTGCAGCCCTCACAGCTCACTGTTAGGAGGTGATTCTACCTCTGCATCCAGACTGTTAATACATCAAAAACTTTAAGCTCGGTGATCTCCAGTTTTCTTGGCTTGCCTGTCATAGTGGTGTGACAAGAAAAGAAAAAGGAAAAAGGAAACAGGAAAAGAAAAAGGCACTAATGATTATGGTATAGGCCTGGCATGATTTCTTCCCGTCACAGCACTTCTTATCTCCCCTCCTTCTAGAATTATATGCTAGATCATGCTTTAGTAAAACAAAAAGTTATTCTATAACTTACATAAATTAACGTAAATGAAATCAAAACTGACAGAGAATTTTACTTGATAGAAGTGCTGAAATTGCAGGAAATCCTCTTGGAAGTTTTGACTGTGCATCGAGTGTACACAGGTGTGCAGTTACAATGCTGCTTCTAGTAAGAATTATTTTTAAAGAAAAAGCTCAAGTGATCGTAAATCTCCATCAGTGTACCAAGGCTAAAATTACAATGAATCAGCAGATCAAAAATGAATGGTACATAGAAGGATCAGGTCTGTAAGAAGCAACTGGCTCAACACTGTTTCAGCACTGCCCGTGTGCATGTCACCTTCACAACGACTAGAACACTTTCTTTGTACCTCCAGGATCCTTCTTGTAGCTTCTTCTGGAGACATACCAAAGCTTATCAAGATGAAAAGGCTTTCTCAAAAATCCCACTGTATAGAGACATTGTTGATGAGATTATGCATCATCTGTGGTGTCCCACCAAAGGTACAACAGGTCAGCCATTACTGGACCTCAGAGCAGAACTTAGCATGATCACCTAAAGCCAGGTAGGCATACTCCACTTTATAGTTCTATGATTTAGCAGAAGCATGGGGAAAGCTTTTTACCTCCAAATCTATGACTAATATCCCGACTTCCACCGCGCTTGATTGCATTGTCCCAGATCCCTTCTTCAGTGTTCACCTGAACTGCACGTTGGGACTCCTGCTGAGTTCCCACAGTTGGAGGCCACCAAACAGGTGCTGCTGATGCTGACTTATTCAGGCTCAGGTTGATGCCAGGTGCATGTTGCTGGATGTATCGCAGCTATTGTAAGAAGGATTTTTGTGTGAGAAAGTTGTTCAAGCACCTGCTACACGAGTGAGATGTTACCACCAGTGAGACGTGAATATAAAGTGAACGATGTTTTGAAGGCATTTCCCCCCATTAAAAATAAACTCATCTTCAGATAGTTTTAGTGGGTAAGGGAGAAAACTGATGTGGGATTGTTGACATCAAATCTCTGTTGATTATAAACCAGAAGAGACAGGAAACCCTCTCTCATGAGGGATTGTCGTGCTCTGCAGGGTTAAATTTTGTTTTGCCCCGGAGATTTGTTAAGACTTGTCTTAAAGAAGCCCCCTGAGACTTCTAGCTTTTGATAAGCATGGAAAAGGAGAGGGATGAAGTTGGGAGAGAATCCACCTGACATCTGAACATTTGATTCTGCTTCCATCCTGTTCCAGAAAGACACCTTACCTGTGGTGTAAGAAACAAAAACGGGAAAAATCAATCCAATTAATGTAAACAAAGTATTATCCTGTAGATTTTTGTTATTCAGTAACTGAATTGTACATTTTTTGGTCTTTGTTTTTAGGTTCCTATCTCAAAGGCTGAGATTATGGGTTTGGCTTTTTTTTGGTCTTGCTGCACAGCAACTATTGCAACAGGTAGAGCCCTTTAGGTTTTGCAATTTTAAGCAAAGAGTCACAGCAATGCTTTTATTTGTAGTAATATTCACTGTTGCTGTGCAGAGCCAGACACCCGCTCTGCTGTATACTGTGTCAGAATTTGGATTTGTTCCCCATGTTCCTGTTGCTGTGGTTTACGCGCCGCAGGACTCAGGAGTTAGTGCTGGCAGCTGACTGGGCACTACGGGTGAGGAATTTGTTACAGCTTCTGACGAGGCTTTTCATTCTACTCAGGTTTTGAGGTTTTGTTTGTATCTGAAACAGATTTGGCCTCTGCAAACTGCAGGTTTAAGAGTTGATGAGAATATCATCTCTCTAAAATTGTAATAATATAAATAATAGCACTAAAATAGCTGGTTTAGCCACTTATTTTGTATTTAAACTATTTTATAAATTCTTATATTAATTTAAATCTTGTAGCCTTAGCAATTTCTGTTTCCTTTCTTTTTTATTTTTCCTAATTTATGGTCTAATAAACCTTAGATTTTATGAATTTAATATATTTTTCTGCCTTTTGGGGCAGCACACTGCAAAGCAAAGGTGTAATCAGGTCTACCAAAGAGAGTACACATGGGTACACACCACACCCTGTGTCATGGTTTAATCCCAGCTGGCAACTAGGACCATACAGCTGCTCCCTCACTACTCCTCCCACTCCCCTCAGTAGGGTAGGGAGAAGAGGGAGAAAAGCAGGGCAAAGGAGAAAAAAAAAGACAGTTAATAGAACAGGAGAATAAGGAAAATAAGAATAACAGTAATGGTAAAAGAATATACAAAATAAAGCAATACAACACAACACAAATCGCTCTCACCACCCGATGATTGGTTCCCCAGCCCCTCCCAAGCAGTGATTGCAGATTCCTGCCTCCTGGCCAACCCCCATTTATATATTGAGCATGATGTGTATGGTATGGAATATCCCTTTAGCTAGCTAGTTCTGTCTATCCTCCCTCTCAGCTTCTATGGAAAGCTGAAAAAGTCCTTCACTAGTATAAACACTACTTAGCAACAACTAAACCAATATGTGTTATCAACATTCTTCTCATACTAAATCCAAAATGCAGCAGCTGCTAGAAAGAAAATTAACTCTATCCCAGCTGAAACCAGGACACCCTGAAACAACAATTAATAACTGAAGTTTATCATTGAAGCTAAAGGTGTCTATATTGACTATAATTATATTTTGGTCTTTGAAGGGTAAAATGTATAAAAAAATCAGTACGTTAATGAATATTTCCTGCTCTGATCTGTTGTTGTGTACAGTTTTTTATCTATATGAAGTTATTTTCTTCATGTTGATCATTAATGATATATGTTTGTTTCATGAAGACTGTTCATAAATAATAGATTTTGGTCTGTTGGTAAAGGATAGGGGAAGGATGAAGAGTCTTGTTTTTCACAGTGAATATTTTAAAACACCATTTTTAAATGTAAATTATTTTATTCTTTTATTAGGAAAAGACATACGAAGCAATAAATCATCTGCTTTAGAGTCAAACCACTCCTAGTCTGCAAGGGCCTCGGTCATGAATCCTGTAGGAAAGGAACAAATAACTTGAGATGCTTGAAGCTGCATTACACAGAAATTAATGCCTGATTATATTCCCCTCTGGCAGTGCTCTCACCACAGCCCACCAGCCTTGTCCCTCAAGCAGTATAGTTGGCAGCAATCCAGCCAGGATTTCCCTTATATCCTTCAAAATCTTCTGATGAGCAGGTCCAGTATTCATGGTGACTTTGCGAACTCTTTTCACCACCTTTGTGAGTATTACGGTCTGATTTAAAAATGGAGGTCTGAAAAATGTATCTTTTTTTTAGAGAGATAGTTAGAGGTACAATGGTACAATTGGGGTGGTGCAGGACCTAAAATCTCAGTGGAAAGGTGACCCTTATCACTGAGTCAACTGACTGGCCAGTCATCACAGCAGGAACAATGTTTGGGCTTTCTCCATTTGTGCCTGCCTGGAGCCTATGAGCCCTTAGGACATTCTTGAGTATGGTACTTGGGACTTGGGTGGAGGCAGGTAATTTCAGGTAATAGATGTGTCCTACATGTTGCTTTCTCAATTCACAGGAGATTGAATGCAAATAAATTGTAGGAAGCTGGAAATTACTCCCATCAAATTTAAGGCTATGTAGAGGGATCTCTCTCTCTGTCTTTCCTGAATGAGAGCTATTTCCAGGTACGTGCTTCCCCTACATTCTTAGCCAGATCATGCAGAGGAAAAGGGGAATAAGATTTGCTTTATAACTTGCTTCTACGTGATAGATCCCACCAGATCTATAAGCTTCAGCAAAGATACTTTAATTTTCTTGCACCATTAGGCATCCTAGGAAAACTGAAGAAATGCTGCTGACAGAGTTTGATAGGTGTCTTTGCTATCAGCACTCTAGTCTTAACACTCCCTTTCAGTTTCTTGCTGTTAGATATGAGTGGCTTTCTATTCTAATTTCCTCTTTCACACAAGATCACGTATTCTTCCTACAGTGGTGACAGGAAACGGGTGGCTTATTCGTTCATCACAAGCACTAGTCAGTAACAGAAGA